ATCTATATAACTTCATTACTAAAGTATTATTTATAATTATAGCTGTTAATTTTTTTATATTAATTATACTTATTATTTCATTTATATCTGCAAAAATATTTATTACATTTTATTTAGTTTTACCTATAGATTTAGTTAAAATAAATATTGGTATTGATATAGTTAAAATAAAATAAATCAATATTTCTAAATAATATTTAACTTATAATTATAATATTAATTGGAATAATAATAAAATTTTATAATAAATATAAATAATAAATATAATTTATTATCTATTACAAATAAAACAAATATATTTAGCATTATTTATATAATTTTTTATTTTATTTTTAGTATCTTAATATATTTTATTAAGTAAATAATTTAATATTTTTTATGTAATAGAAATTTTAATATTAAATATATTTTTTTAATTTAATTTTTTAATAATTTTATTTCAGAAAATGATAATTATAATTCATATTTGAAAATAATTTTTGCAAATATTATAAATTCTCTGACTATACTATCTTTTATGAATAAGATCTGAATATTATTTATGAATATAGTTTTGAAAAATTGAATAATATCTGAATATTATATATTATATAAGTAATATATTATTTAATTCTATTTATTAATATAATTGATTTCTTCTATATTATAATTATTATCTTTACTAGCTTTATTAATTTTATCATTATTAATTAAACTCAAATCAATAATTTCTTTAATATAAAAAATTATCTTTGATTTAAAAGATTTATTAATTATAATATTTAATAATTGTAATTTAGAAGTTAAATCATTTAAAATTATAGTTAAATTTATATTTTTTTCTAAAAATCATTATTTTACAGAATTTATAAGATATTCTTTAAATGAATTCAAAATCAAAAGTGAATATAAATTTACTGATATTAATAATTGTTAATTCCATATATTTTCTATCTATTATAATATTTTATTTTTATTAATCTATTCAGTTAAATTTGCATGAATTATTACTTTTAAAAAAAAGTTTACTATAAAATATTAATCAATTTGAAAATAATAATAAGTAATAATTTGATTTTATTTGCTATATAATCAAGAATAATTATAAACTTAGACTTTTTATAATCATAAATTTGAATAAAAATAGTATTGATATTATAATTATTAATTATTAATTATTATATAATTAGAAAAATTAAAAGATAAAGATATTTTATTTATATTACCAATTAAAGCAAGAAAGTAATCATACTAAATTTGTTAATATAAAATAAAGTTCAAAAATTTATATTATAGTAGTTATAGATTATCTAGAAGTTTTTAAGTCATAGTAATCTAATAATAATTACTTAATTTATAATAAGTCATAAAGTTATCAATTTATTTACTAGAAAATTGATTTTGAGTAATATCAAAATAAAGAGTAATATACTATAATTATTATAATAATTTTTTTACTTTGATTTGAATTATAAATTATATTATAATTTTTTGTTTTTGGTATAATTTCTTTATCTAATTATAAATATTCTCTTCTAATTCAGAATATTTTAATGGCTTTTCTTTGTTAATTTATCAAATATAGGATGGAATATATATTAATTTTTCTTTTTTATTATACTAATCTCTCACTTATTTTGGCTTAATATTGAAAATAATAATTATTATATGAATATTATGACTTAAATACTTCTTAAGATAGATTATAATAGTAAGTTTTTCATATGCATTTATTGTTATCTTCTTTTTTTAGTAATCTAAGCATAATATTTTTTGATTATATAAAATAAAGATAAATTAGAAAAAAATTAAAATATTTGATGTCATATTTTTTATTTTCATATAAGTAAAAAAATTAAAATTTTTGATATTATATTTTTTATTCTCATATAAATAAATAATTTATATCTTGTATACTTTCTATTAAAATATTATCATTATATAATATCTCTTACTATATTACCCTTTATCATAATAGTATCTGGAGTATTATTCAAAAAAATTTTGTGATTTCTTAAATAGTATTCTGAATATTATAGTCAGTGCTCTATGATACTTTTTTATTTTTCTCTTACTTAAAATATGAAATTCTATTAACAAAATTATTAATATTACTATTTTATATATTTTATAATTATTAATTATTAATTATATTTATTAGACTAGTAATTGTATTAATATTTGAATTAATTATATTAATAGAATAAGTATTTAATTATATATTTTCTGTAGGTAAATTAATATTAAATAAACTCATATTAGTAATTTCTGAATTTTTTAAAGCTTATATCAAAAAATAATTATTTAACTTTAGTTGAGATATTTAGATATATGTACAGATATAATTTTTATTAAATTACTAAATTATTATATTAATATTTAGAATTTTCATAATATTTATATTCTGTATACCAACATAAAATTTCTTTATTTCACAATCTTTCTTTGATTATATAAAATTTTATTTTTATATAATTTTATAATTTATCATATAATTATCTTTATTTTTATATTAAACATTTATTTTTTTACTATATTTATTCTTTATAATTATATTTTATTTTAAATATTATATCTTATCTCCTTTAATTAAGATCTATATTTTTAATTTATATATTATATATAACTCATATACTTAATAAAATATCTAAATCAATTAATCTAAATATTATTTTGGTTATATAAAAATTAATGTATAGATCTGAACCAGTTTGAATTGATATTAATTTTGAAATAAAGATTTGACTAATATAAATTGTATTTAAGTAAATTTACTATTTTTTATTTATATTATAGGTATAAATTTTTGTGATATCTTCTCTTAAGTTCTTCTAATTTCTGTCTCTGATTTAGAATATTCTAAAAGCTATAATACTAGAAATGCAAAAATTTTGTTAGAAAACATCTTAGTATCTCTAATAACAAACTATATGTAAAATCTACTATATGTAAGATCTGATTCCGAACATTTTTATTTAGTGACTTTGAAGTGGTTGTCATAGTAAATGGTGAGTTATTTACGATTCTTCACATGATCTTGCGATTCGATTGGCAAACTTGAAATTTGATTGGCTCATCTCCTCGTGACTTACCTTGCTTTAAGATCCTGATCTGTGTGATATTGAGCATGGGATCAGATTTCGTAATTAGTGAATTAGGGATGCATCAAAGTCACTATTGATACATCGTTGGGAAGAATGATCTGATATAGAGTATATCATTAAATTCCGAATATCAAATTAATTAATGGAACTGCGACACTGCGACCAATGGATTGCCTTCTTCGAAGTAGTGATCGATGAATTAATATTTAATTTAACGGACTTACAGAAAATATACCTTGTGGAATCCTGTGATCATACAGTCTCACGGTTTATTCGTTAGGATCTTCACATCGGTTGTTCATGTACATGTAATTCAAAGAAACAAGGCAAACTGAAGGTTGGGGGCGAAGACAATTTATTCGGCTTATTGAGATTTTCGTTTTACTAAATTTCGTACTAAGCCGAATTTATATATAGATTTGCACAAATTTCCAACTTATCAGTCACTCGAATCACGTGATGGACTACGCACCGGCATTACAATGAATTCAAGAAACGAACCTATCAATACACATTCATGTGACAACTTCGGGGTATATCGAGATAAAAAAAACTTCGGATTAATGCAATTTCGGCTTAGTGTGGCTTCGTCTTAACAAGTTAGCCTTGTAATACAAACATGACAATCAAAATACCATAACGATAACGATAATTGTAATATAGGCACAAAAAAATGAAAACATTTATGACAATGAATTTACTATAAAGGATAATACAAAACATGACAATAAAAATACCCGAAGTAATATAATGACGACAGCTTGGCACAAAAAACCTGAATCACAAACAAAACTCTCATCAAATATCGATTATGATATTTTCTTTTTTTTTTATTTTTGGATGCGACACTGTCTTACTACCTCTGCCTTACATTTTATCAAGACCTATAACGAAATGGGTTAATTCGAATTAAATGTGCTTCCTGTACGTTTGTATACATGTATATTGTGGAAGCGCAATAAGTGTGGTTTATGCAGCAAGTTACAGTATAACTTTAAATTACATGTAGCAAACAGATGATATAAAAAACCAGACCCAAAAAAAGTAATCAATTAATGGAATTTACCGATGACGTTCAACACAATTCGGCAATTCGTATATCCGACAAACGAAATCCCGAGCTCGTGAGAATTTTAGTGTTCCATGCTATCCTTTCGGATTTTGTATGCCGTTCGTTTGGAATTTCGTAACAGACCCGTAATTTACAATCAAATCTTTTATAGTCACCAAATCGAGTTTCCAGTTTTATATAATAAACATAATTTTGCTTTTCCGAGGGTTTTATCTATAGAAGTTTGACTGTATTTTCATTATTTATGTTTCAAATTATACGTGTATTTAGCAATAGTCAATATATACATATACATGTACTATCATTTGCATGTGATTATGTATGTGCAATGGTACAGGTATAATTGTTTTGCGTTCTACCAAAAAAAAACTTTTTTTAGTTGATCTCTTGTTCACTGTGCGAATTAAAGTTTAAATAAGTTTTTGCAATCAAGCGAAGTTTTGACCATCCATCGCAGAGCATCTTGCGCGTGAGGTTAAAATTGTCAAATTTTTCTTTGACAAAATTTTCATGTAATCACGCCTCGATATAATCATTTATAGAATTCTTTAATGAATAAAATGCGGCATGAAAGAATGTTTAAATAATGAAAATTAATTATTATTACTTAATTATTATAAAATTTATGATATAATTTATAATTAAAATCAACATTATATTGAATGATCGTTAATTCGAAGTTTGTTAATTTACATCATAATAAACAAAGGCAGAAGAAATTGATAAATAAGATAAAAAAAAATAGATAAAACCCTAATCGTGCAATCTCATAACTACATGTTGATGATTTTGGTGACAATATAGTGATATTATAAAAATTTTCAAATACGAATATTATATCAAATTCAGAGAACTAGAACAACTAGAACCGTTGTCAATAACATGCTCGCAATAACTGAATTAATTTTGATATTAGATCCGGTGGATGGTGTTGATGTCGCTGGCTTGGGTGGTGTCGTTGATGTCGTATTCGCTGATGCCACTAACCCTGATGCCGTTGGCCCAGATGCCGCTGTTGAGCCTGTTGCTGATGATGTCGCTTTTGCCGTTGCCGTTGCCGCTGTTGCTGTTGCTTTAGTATTTGTATTACCTGTAGCACCTGATGTCGAGTTATCTGTAGGGTCTGGCGTCGAGTTATCTGTAGGATCTGGCGTCGAGTTATCTGTAGGATCTGGCGTCGAGTTATCTGTAGGATCTGG